TAAGACAAATATAAAGCCTTCCCTTCCCCCCAAGAAGCCTGCATCCTCTTTGTGGGGTACGGGAGAGAACATGTACGCAAATAAGAAAGTTAAAATAAATAGAGGGTAATTCTGCAAGAGAGATGATAATAGCAACTAAAAGTGTCAGGAGGTGGCATCTGAGGGGAACCTTAAAGAAAAGTCTAAATTTTATGAAGTAGAGCCGAAGAGGAAGTGGATTCTAGGCACGGGAACCAGTTGATGCGACGTCACTGAGGTAGAGGATGGTATTTTGGGTGTGAGGAAGAGCGCTAAAGCCAGCATGGGTTGACTGAAGGGTGAATGAAGGGGAGTAATATTCTAAAAAGGCTATAAAGGCAGGTTGGAGCCTGGTTATGAAGGATTTTTAAAATGCCAAATAGCTGAATTTATCTTTGGTTAATAGGGAACCACTGGAGTTTACTGAGCAGAGCACTTGTATGGTCAGCCTTGCTGCTGACAATACTATTTTCAAAGGAATCATCTACCACAGGCCAGGCCTCAACACAGCCTCATTATCTCCTTTCCAACAATGTATAAATGCCCTAGTTCCTTTGCGATGGCTTCCTCCTTGGGGAGGGTGGGAAGAATTGGACTCTACTTGTATCCCATTGGCCTTAACCTACCTAAAACTTCCGTAACGAAAAGGATTGCAGATCAAGTGCTAAAAGCAACCTTGGGTATCATCTAGGCCAACTCCTTCATTTTAGAAATGAGGAAACTGAGGCCCAGAGAAGGTAAGGTCATCGATCTGTTTTGCAATTTTCTAAGAGTTATTCCAACACTCATGATGCAGCACATACCAAGGAATAGATATGGAGTACAAATAATTACAATAAAATAAGTAGAAAATAATAAATAGGCAGTTCAGATGAAGGAACAGTCCAAAGGCCTGTGTTTGAATCCCCCATATCATTTGCTAGCTGTTTGATTTCAAGCACGTCAACTAGCCTCCCTTTGCCTTTATTTCTTCATCTTTAAAATGGGAATGTTAATTCTTAGAGTGGCTACCTCATAGAGTCAATGTGGAGAAAGCATTACGAAAACTTAAAATCACTATTGTTATAAGATTGCAATGGGTTCCCCTAAAAAAAATAACCTAAATTCATAGCCAGTCTCAGCAGAGATGAGCCTTCGTTAGCACTCATTACAAAAGAGAAATGCTGCTAATTACCTCAGGATTCTGGGCCCAGCAGAGCCAAGAGGAGCAGATAAGTCAATCTCCAACAGCAGTGGTGAGTGAGAGCCCAGAAAAAGGAAGACTCACTGACTCATGGACATATCCCTGAGAACAATATTGGGCGCTTACTTTTCTCTGCCTGTCTCTAGAGCATCCCCAAAATGATGTATGAAATGCCTTATTTACTTTCCCCCCTAAAATTTTCTCCTTTATCATTTCTTATAAACACAGTGTCAGCACTGGGGAGGTGTTTCCTCAGCAAAAGAAAATGACCCAGTAAAAAGATGACCCCTCGACACCTTACTCTGATGGCCCTGATCCAAGAACTTGCTTTTAAAAGAGTATTGTCTTAAACAAAGACTTAAGATGTTTCAGAAATATGAGAATTTAAATGAGAAGACAAGCAATTATAAATGTGGTTTCTTGTTCTTGAAGGGATGAATGGCCCTTTAAAAGCTAACAACTTTATATTTAGTGAAGCGGCCATGGTGGAAGTGCTTTATGGACTGTGTGGGCCACTATTGAGTGGGGGAAGGGTAAACTTTGTGCACTGGGCAGACAATTCACGTGTCATAGAGATGGGGAAGGAAACACCAGTCAGAGGAGGTCCTGGAGTTGTGGTTTGTCCTTTGTTTTCCAAGAGGACCTCACCTCCCTCTAGGGGGATCTTCAAGTCCTGGCCAGTGCCTTTGACAGATTTTAGGAAGCCAGTGAGCAGAGAAAGATGTTTCTTTGCTCAAGGATCATTGGATTCTGATGAGCCTCAGACATTTTATGGGACATTTACTTCTTTTTTGTAATAAAACATTAGTATAATTATAATTACTATAATACTATAATTTATACACACACATATGAACACATAATAATACACATGTACACAATACAGGTATAATAAATACATATAGCATATGTGTATGCATGTATATATAAGACATACACATAATATCTAAAATATATAACAGCACACATGTATCATGCACACACATGTATAATGTATGTATTATACATGCATGACAGATACATGTATGTGTAAACTGTTTTATACAATTTTTATTTCTTTTTGAAGTAAAACATTACTATATTACAATTATATATAAAACACTACTACAATTATATATTATATATACACACAATTATATGCATGTATAATTTATACGTATAATGCACACACATATTTATATATGTAATTATATACAATGTATAGCCCTTTTATAGGCTATTTCTTTCTGTGGTAAAACATTATTGTAATTATAACTATGCTACTATAATTTAAAATTTTTACATACACATATATGCACATACATATAATGATACACATGTACAATTATACATATAATAGCTATATGTGCTTATATGTGTATGTATATATGTGTATAGCCACTTTATAGATATTTATTTCTTTTTGAAAGAAAACATTGCTATAATTATAATTATTATAATAACATGATTACATATAAAGCTACTATAATTATATATTATATTAACACATATATGTAATTATGCACATGTGTATATATAACATATATGTCTGTATGTACAGCCCTTTTATAGGATATTTCTTTCTATAGTAAAACATTTCTGTTCTAATTACTATGATACTATATAATCTATACATACACATATGCACACATACACATATAATTATACACATGTATAGATATTTTATAGGATATTTCTTTTTGTAGTAAAATATTAGCATAATTATAATGACTATAATACCATAATTATATAAAACATTATTATAATTATGTACTATCTATAACATATATAATTATACACATGTATGACTATACATACAATATACACATATATGCATGCATATGTGTATATGTATACATACAACTATTTTATGGGATATTTATTGATTTATTTATCGGTTTGGTGAGGCAATCAGGGTTGAGTGATTTGCCCAGGGTCACACAGCTAGTAAGGGTCAAGTGTCTGAGGCTGGATTTGAACTTAGGTCCTCCTGACTCCAAGGCTGGAGCTCTATCCACTATGCCACCTAGCTGCCCCAGGATATTTATTTTTGTAGTAAAACATTACCATGATCATATGTATATATGTTCACATATGAGAATGTGTATATACACATAATTGCACAAGGCATAACTATATAAAGATACATATATACATATACACATATGATCCACATACAGGAATGCATGTATATAGACACATATACACAGCCATGTTTCACAAAGCCCACTTTCATGCCTACATCTTGTAGCGGGAAGGTAACCCTGGTGCCTTCAAGGCCATGCCAGTTGAGCATAAATCCTAGAAAGTTCTACTGTTCTGTATAGTCTGTGCCTATGTCTCCAGTAACAGACTGAGTCTGCTGCCCAAGGATCAGCCTAAGAATGGAGAAGACCTGCATTCAGATCCCAGCTCTATCTTTGTGGTGTGACCTTGACTAAGCAACTCAGCTCATCTTGGCCTCAGCTTCCTCACTGTGAGGAGTTTGGGCTGAAGGAGATCGAAGGTACCGTCCAGCCATCAGTATATTCATCCATCCTTCTGAAAGATCCCTTTCATTTCACTCTATCAGCGCAAATGCCTTCTCATCCTGGGAGCTTCTTGTTCTGTGTTTTCCCACTACTGTCCTTAGGGAGGGGAAGGAAATAAGCATTTATTTGGCACCTACTATTTATCTGTCATAACTAAATATCATGATATTAACTTCTTTTGTGTCCAACTTAACAAATAGGATACAGCTCCTCAGAGCCAGAAGGTACTTATGGGTCCACCTCTTTTAATTTTCCATCCAATGAAGAAATCTCATTCGTATCATTCTTGCCTTGGCCTCTGCTTGAACCCTTTCAAAGTGCTTTTTTTTTCTTTTTAGGCAATTGGGGTTAAGTGACTTACCCAGGGTCACACAGCTAGTAAGTGTCAAGTGTTTGGTCTGAGTCTGGATTTGAACTCAGGTCCTCCTGACCTCAGGGCTGGTGCTCTATCCGCTGCACCACCTAGCTGCTCCTGCTTGAACCCTTCCAATGATGACTTCACTATCTCTACCTCGAGAGATAGTCCTTCTGGTTGAGGGACAGATGTAATGGTTAGAAACTTCTTTCTTCTGTTAAGCCTAACTCTATTTCTCTGTCAAATCTACCCATTGCTTCCAGGGCTGTTCTTGGGAGCCAAGCAGAGAAAGTCTCACTCCTCTTCGCCATGACAGTCTCTGAAAAGAGCTACATTGCACTAAGTCAGTCTTCTTTTCCTCAGGCTAACCATCTTCCATTTCTTCATTGGATCTCCTTTTGACATGATCTAGAGTCCCCTCACTATCACTTCACCCTCCTCTGGAGGCATTAGTGTCCTCCCACTCCTGACGTTTGCCACCCAATCCCCAACTCCCAAACACCAGGTGCCTACAAATTGCCTGACTAGTTACTCTGTCCCCAAGCAGGGGGAAAATGATTGGGTGTTGGGATCTCTTGAAAGCAATTTGAGAGAAGTAAGGTGTGATTATTTTGGAAATGGTTGTTAATATAAGTATCATTCTTCAAATGTAATGGAGTGGGGGGGTGAGGATGAGGTTAAAAGATAATCATGAAACATAAGAGAAATATGTTGCATTGTAGCAGGGGAAAAGGTGGGCTGGTTATTATTGATTCCATTCCTCCAACTGATAAGGACAGATTGTTGTATGTTTGCCTGGTGGAGCTCTATACTTCTAAGAAAAAGGCACAGTGTTCAGCTCCTCTCCCTCTGTGCATAGAAGGGAAGCTGTTGGGGAAGTGGGTGGGGAGTGTTCCTGGTATGGTCAGAGTAGAGAGCAAGAGTGGCGCCCAACAGCCCAAGGACAGCGTGCTTTGTGGGAAGAATGCCGGATTGAGGGTTAGGAGACTTTGGAATCCCAGCTTTGCTGCTTGTTTACTACCTGTGAGACCTTGGGTGAGTACTTTTTCCTTTCTAGGTGTCAGTTTCCTCATCTGCAAAATGAGGAGGGAGCACATTGTGATCTAATAGTAGCTACACGGCTCAGGGGATAAAATGTCAGAAAGACCTTCAATTCCTTTCTCAAACATGTATTCGTTATGTGACACTGGCAAGTCGATGAACTACTGCCTGACTCCATTTCTTCATCTGTAAAATGGAGATAATAATAGTACCTACCTCCCATGACTATGAGGATAGAATGAGATAACAGAAAAAAAGAGATTTTATAAATTTTAAAGTGCTGTACAAATGCTACTTAATACAAAGTGCTTATGGCTTTATAAGTGTTAAGGAGACGAAGCTGGGACCTGACTGTAGTTGTCCAGTGGAAAGGGAAACCAGGACTACCAATTTTCAGGTTATGTATGTATGTATGTATGTATGTATGTATGTATGTATCTATGTGTGTGTACATATATACAAATACATATATAGATGCTATTTATGTTTTATTAAACACATTACACATATTTATATGTATTTACACTAACAAGGAACAATGTTTATATGAGAAGATCTAAAAGATGCTGAAGAGCTAGATAGGGATGAAGGAGTAAGTATAGAACACCTCAAGGGCTTGGGGACCCATGCCCTCCAGTTATTTTCTGTGTTCCAAACAAAAGTTATATTTCCCCAACTGTTTTCAGTCAGTGACACACCTAGGAACCTGCCAGGAAGCAGCAGAGTAGTGAATACACCCTATTCTACCCCTACTCAACCATCCGAAGCATCTTCCTTTCTCCCTCCACTATGGTATTGCCATCTTCCATTTTTTATATTCAACACTAACAAGAGAAGATGAGGAGACATAGAAACTCATCATATCAGAGACATCTCTGTGCCATACCAGTCACCTGTCTTACTCATGGGAAGGTGAGATGAAGATGGAGGGCCTCAGCTACTTTCCCCTATCTTGGGGAGCTTGCCAGACTCAGCAGCAGTAACTGGATGCCCAGGACCGATGTTTGAGCAGAACAAAGTCAGTTAGAGGTGAAATCCATGCACACTGCAGCAAACCCCTAAAAATGAGATATCTGTGAAGGGGACATATGTGGATGGATGGATAGATAGATAGATAGATGATAGATAGATAGATAGATAGATAGATAGATAGATAGATGGTAGATAGATAGATAGATAGATAGATAGATAGATAGATAGATAGATGGTAGATAGATAGATGGATAGATAGATAGATAGATAGATAGATAGATGGTAGATAGATAGATAGATAGATAGATAGATAGATAGATAGATAGTAGATAGATAGATAGATAGATAGATGGTAGATAGATAGATAGATAGATAGTAGATAGATAGATAGATAGATAGATGATAGATAGATAGATAGATAGATAGATAGATAGATAGATAGATAGATGGTAGATAGATAGATAGATAGATAGATAGATAGATAGATAGATAGATAGATGATAGATAGATAGATAGATAGATAGTAGATAGATAGATGATAGATAGATAGATAGATAGATAGATAGATAGATAGATAGATAGATGGTAGATAGATAGATAGACAGACAGACAGACAGACAGACAGATAGATAGATAGATAGATAGATAGATAGATAGATGATAGATAGATAGATAGATAGATAGATAGATAGATAGATGGTAGATAGATGGATAGATAGATAGATAGATAGATAGATAGATAGATAGATAGATGGTAGATAGACAGACAGACAGACAGACGACAGATAGATAGATAGATAGATAGATAGATAGATAGATAGATAGATAGATAGGTAGTGCAGTAATAGTGCAAAAAGTTCTGGAATTGTATTGAAAGGACTTGGGTTCAAATCTTGGACCTTTTACTTACTGTGTGACCTTGGGCAAGTCATTCAATCTTTCTATGCCTCAGTTGCCTTTTCTGTATAATGAGAAGGCTGAACTAGACCTTTGGAATCCCTTTGTAGGAATTCAGCTTTTCAAACATTTTCATATTTTGGGGCAAAATTGGTCTGGGAAAACTGTTTGACATGTTCTAAAATTTCCTCTGATGGGTGCAGTTGATAGAGTACCAGGCCTGGAGCTAGGAAGACCCTAGTTCAAATCTGGCCTAAGACATTTACTAGCAGTGTGACCCTGGGCAAGTCACTTAATCCTGTTTGCCTCAGTTTCCTCATCTATAAAATGAGCTGGAGAAGAAAATGGCAAACCACTCCAGTATCTTTTCCAAGAAAATTCTAAATGAGGTCACAAAGAATCAGACAAAACTGAAATTGACTGAACAACAACAAAATTTCCCCATATTAAATGTACCAAATGCTAAAACTGTTCCTCATTCTTGCAGCATTTCCCAAAGTATGTCACAGATGGTTGAACCATAATATCACCTCCTCACTAACTCACAGAATAGGAATTCAAGCACTTCTACCTCAATAAAAAATAAACCGCATCATATTTTCAGGCACAAAAATGCTTTTATCATTTATACACACACACACATACACATATATAGTTGCATATATAGTTATATATTTTTGTATGTATAGTATAGTTATGTATATATATATATATATATAGTTATATATTTATCTTTCCCATTCCCATTCTCATTTTAATAAATGTAATTCCTAAAATGTTCCATAACAGTGTAATGGAAAGAACACTGGCTTTGGAGTCAAAGAACCTGGGTCTGAATGCCTTACTAGCTCTATACCTCAGGTAAGTCATCTTTCCTCTCTAGCCCTCAGATCTGTTCTATATAAAATGAGGAGGTTCAGACTAGATAGTGATTTCCAGTGTATGGGTCTCACACATAGAGGACCATGGAGTTCTCATAAGGTGATCATGAATCCATATTTGTACCCACTATTGTATTTTCATCTTTGTTTAGTTCTGACACTATATACTTCATGGTTCAGTCTACCAAATAAATAAAACAGATCTTCTGTAGTCTGGATAAATAATCTGGCTCAGTGTCTCTATCTCTCACACACATGTCCGTATTACAATTTTTCAAATGTATGCAAATGTTATGATTAATAGAATAAAATTAATTTAAAACATTAGTGAATTTATAGTAGCTTTTTGGCATTGTGTATTTCCTCAAACAGCAGGCTATTTATAGTACAAATACTGTCATATGGTAATCTGAGAGATTTCTTGATAGTAAAAAGAAATCCTGCTCTTTCCCTAACTTCAAATATGTTGAAGAATATTAAACTAGATTGTCTCTATCCAAATAAGATAAAGCAACATTGTAAATTGTATAATGCTAGATAAATGTGAGCTATCATTATTAATATGCAATGCTCTATTATTATTATTATTACTATTATCTCTATGATCAAATGATATACATAGAACTTTGTAAGCCTTAGAGCACCACATGAAAGCAAATAGTTGCTAATATTGCTGTTGTTATTTTTATTAAACTATGGTTCCTTCCTACTCAAACACTATGAGTCCCTGTGGAAGAGGCGTCAAAGTTGTTTGCCTTCCATCAATCAACAAGCATTTATTAAACACTTATCATATACCACACACTGTCTTAGGTATCGGGGAAAGACAAAATCAAAATATTTCCTGCTCTCAAGTTGCTTATACTCTATTGAGGGAGGAGACAAAAAGGAAAACTGCTTATGACAAATAAGTAGCTGCAGTGGAAGTAGGATTGATAGCTGGAAGTTACAGGAAGGCCAATTTAAGGTCAGCGTAAAGAAAGCCTAATAAAAATACAAGAGGGATGCTTTGGGAAGTGGTGAGTTTTCCATCACCGGGGGTTTTCAATCAATAATTGGGTCACAGAATCTTGTAGAGAGAATCAGAGTACAGATTTAGGCTGAACCAGAAGTAGATATTGTGGGGTCTCTTTCAACTCTGGTAGTGCAGTGGATAGAGGGCTGGACCTGGAGTCAGAAGACTCCTTTTCCTGAGTTCAAATCTGGTAGACACTTACTAGCTGTGTGACCCTGGATAAGTCACTTAACCCTATTTGCCTCAGTTTCCTCATCTGTAAAATGAGCTGGAGAAGGAAACGGCAAACCATTCTAGTATCTTTGCCAAGAAAACCCCAAATGGGGTCACAGAGAGTCAGACATGAGTGAAAAATGACCTAACAGCAACAAAAGGACAGCTGAGAGCTGTGGTTCATGACTTGTGAATTTCTCAAATGGTAGTTTAACAGGTGTTCTGTATAACTCACATCCCATCTTTCTTTCATGCTGATTCTGCCTGACTTTAATGTGAACTTTTCTCACTTGCTAAATAATAACAAGAGAAGCCTTGTTATGTATTCATTGTGGTGCTGCCTTGGAAACACAAACCTTTTAGTTGTCATTCTATATTGTAATTCTATCATTTTAAGAAGCTGATGATGGCTACTAAAGCTTTGGGGAGGGGTAAAGAAAATTTCATTTTGTAACAGCTTTCCTGAAAATAATGCAAATAATAACAACGGAATAATAATAGAGTTTGTGGGCCATAGTGAACAGAGGTCTGGCCTTGGTGTCAGGAAGACATGGGTTCATGTTTTACCTCTGACCCATATTAGATATGTAGTCATGGACTAATTGCTTAACCCCTCAGAGTCTGAATCCTCATCTATAAAATGAAGGCATTGGACTGAATGACCTTTGAAGTCCCTTCAAGCTTTAAATCTATAAAACAATAAGTTCCAGATGACTTGCTGACCTGCTTTGGGATAGGGACTTCCCTACACCAATCAGGTCAGTTCTGGACTGAAGATAATCATGGTGATGGTGGTGGACAATGGTTGCCACCAGAACAGAAAGGCAGCATGACTAGTGGACTGAGAACCCCAGCCTCACTGTCAGGAATAATAATAATAACAGTAAGTAACATTTAGATAGTGCTTAGGCTGTGCTGATTTGATCTAATTTGATCCTTACAACAACCCTGGGTTCAGATCCTGCCACTGACATATGCTGGCTTAATTTCTCCATATTCCAGGAAATTCTCTAAGACCTTCCTTAAGTTGTGAGTAAGTTGCTTGTCTGTTATGGCAGAGGAAATTCCCTACCTGGGAGCTCTCTAGTGGATGAACTGGTAGGTCTAGTTAAAATTAATAATAGCCTTAACAACACATATTCATTTAGTGCTTTCCAGTTTACTAAGCACTTTCCTTGTAACAACTCAGTGAGGTTGGTTTTGCAACAATTATTGTCTCTGTTTCACAGATAATGAAATTGAGGTCAAGAATGGGAATATAGGGGAAGTCTCTATGGTATGACTATATTTCACTGACTTAGGAGTCAAAAAATTCAGGCCTCAGTTCCACCTCTGTTAATCACTAGCTATGTCATTTTGGGCAGGTCATTTTCCTTCTCTGTGTCTCAGTTTTCCCATCTGCAAAATGGCAGAGTTGTCTTCGGTTTTGCTCTCTGCAGATTAAGAAGACTAGGCTAAATGGTCCCCAAGGCCTGTTCCAGCTCTGACATTCTGCAATCAACAAATTGCCCCTGGTCCCAAAGCTAGTAAATGAGAGAGCCATAACCAGAACTTCGATTGCCTCATGAGAGCTATAGCAGCCAGAAAATACATGTAGTATGGTTGCATATAGACTGGGTATGGCTAGAAGGAGTGACACCTTGATAGTCTCTGCTACTGGGAAGGCTGAAGCTGGTGTATGGATCACAAGAGCTCTGGAGTTCTGAGATGCAGTGGGCTAAGCCAATCATTAAGTCCAGCACCAATATGGTGAGCCTCTGGGGAGTGGGAGTGGGAAGAGACACCAAGCTGCCCAATGAGGGTTGATCTAGGTCAGAAATGGAGCAGATCAAAGCTTTCTGTCAATCAGCAGTAGAGCTGGGTCCATAAATGGACCAACCTGTTCTTCTAGCTTGGGCAAAATAGTCTCCAAAAAAATGAAATAAAATAAAAAAGAAGTGTATGATTGTCAAACTCATAGAAGGGGGAGGGGAGAGCAAGGGAAGAGAGAAAGCGTCAAGGGTAGGTCACCATGGAAACATAATCTGAGGTCTGACTATCTTTCTCCCCTTTGGAGCTGTGACAAGTGAGCACAAAGAAGAACAGACCCCACTCAGCGTCCCTTTGCTAAGGAAAGCAATATATGATGAGTTGGGATGCTCAGGTTCCTATGACAGAAGAAGGATGTTTTGTGAAGAGGAACCAGTTCTCAGGAATGGCTTCTCCTCCAACCCCCTCTCCACTCTTTGAGATTAAAATGTCTCATGATGCTGCACTGTTCTTTCCCCATTCTGCTCTAAGGGAACTGAATGCAGTGACCACTCTGGATCCATTCCATAGAGCTCCCCAAGACTCACAAGAGATGTGAGAAGTCCAAAGACCTGAGATCTAGTCCCAGTTCTGCTACTAATCGGGGTGGGGGGGGGAGAGGGGACAGAAAATCATAGATTTCACCAGAAGGAAACTCAGAGATCATCTAATTGAACTTCATCATTTAACAATGATGAAGCCCAGAGAAGTTAAATGACTGTGACTGTCAAGTTCATAGGAGTGGTAGAACCAGGATTCAGACTCAGATTCTGTGACTCCTAATTCAGTGTTCTCTCCATTGTACCATTCTTCCTACTCCTCTGAGCCTGACTTAGGTGCTCCATGTTGGATTCTAAGTTTATGTCGAGTACTAAAATGTTAAATCCCTGATTTTGTGTCTCCATTTTTCTTTTCATGTATGACCCTTCCAACTACTGGATCTTAGCAAGGCTCAGAACAACTGTTAATAGGATAGAACCTCCAAAGATAGAATTCTGTTCCTTGATTCCTAATAAGCTTTGCCCACCATACATATTTCCCTTCTATTCCATTCCAAGGAGGATTCCAGAATGTCAGAACTGGGAAGACCCTAGAATCTAGAACCTAGACTCTTAGAACTTAAGGGGCCATGGGATCATATGGTCTGGGCCCCTTACTTTATAGAAGAGGAAATGTATACTTAGACAGGGGAAGTAGCTTGCCTAGGGCTAGAGCAAAAAAAATTGTAAGGCTATCCAGCCCAGATCTTCTGACCTCATGTGCAATGTAGTGGATAGATTTCTAGACTTTGAGCCAGAAAGACCTTGGTTCAAATCTTGCCTCAAATACTTTCTAATTGTGTGACCCTGGTCTTCTCATTGGCCCAGTTTCAGTAGCACATACTTCATTGGGTCGTTTTAGGGATCATGTAAGGTAATTTATGTTAAGTGCTTTGCAAAGCTTAAAGGCTATGTAAATGTCAACTGTTATTATTATAAATTCACCCTTCTTTCTACTACCATTTAATCTGACACAATTCAATTCAGCCAATCTTCATTAAGCATCTAGGCAGACAGAGCAGCTGTTCTAGGCACTGGAAGAGGCAAAATGGTCAATAAGAGAACCGTCATTCAACCCAACATTTCTGGGCTTTGTTCCCTCTATAAGATGAAAAACAAGTGATCAACTCAGCCACAGGGCCTGCTGTGGAAGAGCTAATAACAAAGGCAGGACACCTTGGGGATGGCCTCATTGTAACTATCTATAAGAGAAGCTAGTTTTCCTCTTGGGAACTAGGCTCGTTTCTGTGTTGTTTTGCTTCATTATATGTTTTCATGATGAGTATATGTACCCAGAGGCCTTCAGCGGTGGACAATTTTAAATAAGGTTAAATAGCAGGAACCCTGGTGTGGTAGAGAAAAGAGCATTGGATTTAGAGACAGAGTAGCCGAGTTCAAATCCTACCTCTGAGACTTGGCTAGCTACGGGACATCTGGAAGGGCCCTCATCCTCTTTGAGACTTAGTTTCCTCACATGGTGAGCCAAGCAGATGAGAATACGTGGTCCCTAAATTCTGGGTGGGCAGCTAGGTGAAAAAGTGGAAGACTCATGTTTTTGAGTTCAAATCCAATGTCAGACATTTACTAGCTGTGTGACCCTGGGCAGGTCACTTCACCTTGTCTGCCTCAGTTTCCTCATCAGACAGCTGAAGGTTGTGGCTCATCAACTGAACAACAACAATAAATTCTGGGCCAGCTCTGACGTTCTCTACTTGACTGACTTTTCAATGCTATGTAATGTTGACCCAGTGAAGTCTGGTGGCAATACAAAAGTCAAGGCAACTGGCAATGGGCCAGCATACAGTGGATGACCTTGGCCTTTTCCATGGGTGACCAAGCTCCACAGCACCTTGATAGTAGGTATTAGGTACTTCAGAAATGCTTGTTGATTGATTGACAAGATAGACTCTGGAAGGGAAACTGGAGAGAGTGGGGATAAACAGCAACTCAGTTCTCCACAGTGGGGAGAAACTAGATCAATGCTCTTTGGCATTTTTCAGCAAGACAAAAATTATTGATCGATGCCAGTCAATCTCTGTTGATGTGTATGCACTGCTAGTCTCTAGACCCTGAAGAGATGCTAACAGGGGTGAGAGAAGACTCAATTAGGTACTGGAAGAAAAAAAATGGTGGATAGACAAAAAACTACAAAGTCACATTGACCCAATCCAATACTGAGGATGGAGACCCACTTGGAAATTGAGAAGTAGAATGTTTCTGATCAATGAGCATGCTCCTATGAGATTACTATAGCGTGACAGAAGTCAGAGTTGGGGTATTGTTTGGCATTGTGTTAGGACTTGGATACAAGGCTACCAAGAGCCTCTAACAATAAAAGGGTGTTCTGGGGCAGCTAGGTGGCATAGTAGATAGAGCACTGACCCTGGAGTCAGGAGGACCTGAGTTCAAATCCTGGCCTCAGACACTTGACACTAGCTGTGTGACCCCAGGCAAGTCACTTAACCCCGACTGCCACAACAAAAATAATAAAAGGATGTTCTTGAATACCCCCCCATAGCGCTTTAGGCTTCTGGGCGTGGTTGTTTAGGGGCTGGGGTTATCTCCCATGTGCTCTGCACAAGTCTTGTTTTATTTTACATGTAAAAGGAGCAGTTCTTTTTTTCTGGCTTGTGAACCCATGTGCTTGAAAAGGGAATTAGAGAAATAGGTTGAGTGGGGTCAGAGGAATTCCTAAGTTATCTGGATAGGAGAAAAAAAAAAGAGAAGTGAGAACTCACCCAAAGATGCCTAAGCTCTTTTTAATATATGTGAGCCTTTGACATGAGAAACACAGTTTAACTATAAATATCACAAGCCATAGGCTGTCTGTTCCCACCCCTTCTTGGTGGGGTTTGGCACTCTGGTTTCATCAGTGTAGAGTTGCTGTCAAGGAAATGCCTTCTGCCAGTGTAGATAAGACAATCTGCTTGTAGTTAATAGCCTCTGAGAGTTGTCTTGGGCACCATGAAGTTGGGTCATTTATTTACGAAGTTGTTGATGTCCGCACAGCCAGCATGCCCCAGGAGTAGGACTAAAACCCAGGTCTTTCCTGACTGCAAAACAACTTACGCTCTATCTACTGCTATTAGGCCTTACCTTGTTATTATTATATGTTGTTATTATTCCACTGTATTATGCAAAGGAGTAATGTGTAAGGAAAAGAGTCTAGAACTTGGAGTCAGAAGACCTGGGGTTTTCAATCTAGGTGTGAATCACCTTAGCTGAATGACCCTGAGCAAAGAGTCCTCTCGACGAGCCTCAGTTTCCTTAACTGAAAGATAGAGATAATAAAACTTGTATTACCTGCCCCACAAGAGCATTATAAAGAATATGCTATATAAAATATAGTGTGCTATATAGCAATGGGAGGAATTACTATCTCCCTTCATTAGGTTGTAAGGCCCTGGAGGGCAGGGACTGTCTTTTGCTTCAGAGCTAAACACAGTGCTTAGAACCTAGTAGGTATTTAATAAATGTTCATTTTATGATTGATCAACATTAGTACTCATTTGGCAGATGAGGAAGCTGAGGCCCAGAAGAAAAAAAAAAGCTTACTGAAAAATCACATAGTACATTAGTGGTAGTGACTGGATTCTGAGGCTCTCAATTCCCAGTCAATGCTTTTTTCAACTAGCCACATTATCAGTGGGGGAATATGAAGGGCCCCCAAATGATAGGTGCCCCCAAACTCTCACACATCAATTCAATTCAACCAATATTTATTAAGTGCTTACTAGATGCAAAATCCTGTGTTGAGCATCGGAGATATAAAGACAAAAAATTACACAGCTCCTGCCCTCTAAGGCAAAGGGTGGGTAATACAATAGGAATGCAAATGGTGATGGCAAAAAATTAGAATGTGAAAGAGACAAAAGGGAAATTTAGACAAAGTAGTAGTGGGAAATTTGAGGTGACAGAAAACACTTAAAGCTATGGGATCTGAGAAAACTCCATAAAAGGAGGTGATACCTGGAGTAGGCCCTAAAGGACAGGAGGGATTTCAACAGAAAAAGATGGTGTAGGGAATCCATTCTAGGCAGGAAGAAAGAATGAATATAGGCATGAAGAAATGGGGGTGTAGGAAAAGGACAGAGATTTGAGGATTCAAATTTGGCTGGAATGTACTTGAAAGGAAATAGTATGAGAATGAGTTAGACAAGTGGTTTAGACTCAGATTGCAGATGGCTTTGAATGTCACAATCATAGGAAGGAGCTTTGGGACCATGACATCATGGAGGTGATGCCATGACATATAAGTGGATTGTATTTGAGTGAGGGAGGGCTGTGCAAAGTCATCAGCCTCACTTTCTCCTCCAGAGTTATCTGGGTCCAGTCACATCAGGACGACTGGAGATGGCCCCAGATATGGCGGAAGACCTTGGCTCTAGGTCCAAGTGTGTTTGGGATTATCTTCCAGATTTTCCAACCAGTAAGTTGGGGAGAGGAAGGGGGTTCTTCATCCAGTCTAGCAACTATTGAGGGACATACCCTTCGTGTCTCTGTTGTACTACCTCTGAAAGGCCCCAGCAATTAGGATTAGGTTACTGTTTACCATGAAAATACTCTATTCTAGTCACATATAAGGCAGTGGGGAGAGGCAGCATGGTATAGTGGGAAAAGTGTCAAACTTGTAGTCACCAGAGAGCTGGGTTCAAATCTCACCTCTGACAGTATCTATGAGACACTAGGCTGGCAAATCATTTAACATCTACTATGGCATCTGCCTTCCTGGGATGTTGCCAGGGATCAAATTAGGAAATAAGTATAAAATACTTTGTAAAACTTAGAATGTGATATAAGGGACAGCTGTTATTCCCGGAGCTTTCTAATATCAGGGAGGATGGTTTTAGAGTCAGAGAAGATCTGAACGTGAATTCTGTCTATGATACTTCCTACCTTCGGGATCTCCTCTCTCTGGGCCTCATTTTCCTTCTCTGTAAAAAGAGAAGATTGGATTGGATGACCTCTAAGGGTCATTCCAGTTCTAATATTCTCTGATCCCAAGAAGTAATAGTAATTTTTATTTTCTAGAAATGCCTACATTACCTCTCTCTCTTCCCATACACTGCAATAGAAAACCCAATCCCTTATCACTTGTCACCAGCAGCCAACCCCAAGCCCTTTTGTACCAGGAGGGGATTTCACCCTGACAAGCTGGCCCAATTCCAAGCCAGGCGATGCTATTCTACATACCAAAATTTCCTCCTTGTGGCTTTAATTACTGTAATCCAACAGATTCTCACTTCCTGTCCCAAACCACGGCCAGTGTGACAATGCAACCCTAAAGAGATCGCATGTTTTGCATCACAGGTAACTATATTCCTGTGAACAATCTCTGTGTGAAAATACAAAATATAATTATAGTGTCTTGACTCATCCTTCCTGAGTCAGTCATTTCTGTATTCTCCCACCCTTTCAGTAGCCTTTTTCCCCCATCCATCATGTGACATCCCTCTCCTAACCTAACACCCAACAGAGACATCTCAAGACACACATTCTATTCCCGGGGCTACCATTAACTCACTGTGTGACCTTGAACGAGTTACTTCCTCTCTGTGAATCTTAGGTTTTCATCTTATAAAACGAAGGGGTTGGACTAGATGACCCCTAAGATCCCTTACCTTCTGAAACTCAATTCAATTTAATAGTGATATCCAGCTCTGACATCATGGGTTCTAACGTCATTCCCAAATCTAACATTCCATGTGCTATGGTCTCTTCTAGAGCTAACACTCAGTGTTCTCTGTTCCAAGATACCTTGCAGTTCTTATATTCCTTGTTCTATATTCTAAAGTCCTTTCCAGTTCTAACATTCTATGTTCTATGACAGTTTCATTTTTTGGTTTTGTATTCATAGTGCCTTGGAGGCAGCATGGTATGGCCCTGGGATCAGGAAGATCTGGATTCAAGTCCTGCCTTTGACACATATCAGCTCAGTAATCCTGGCCCCCAGACAACTATGACTACAAGTTGCTGAAGAGGTGCTGATCTGCATTAGTAAAGGGAGTTTTCCCCATTAGGGATTCCTATATTGATAAGGTCACAGGGCTAGCCAGGAAAGAAAGGGAAAAAAAAGAAGGAAGGAAGGAAAGCAAGAAAGAAGGAAGAGAAGGAGAGAAGGGAGGAAGGAAGGAGAGATGGAAAGAAGGAAGAAGGAGAGATAGAAGGAAGGAAAGATAGATGGAAGGAAGGAAGGAAGGAAGGGAGGGAGGGAGGAAGGAAGGAAGGAAGGAAGGAAGGAAGGAAGGAAGGAAGGAAGGAAGGAAGGAAGGAAGGAAGGAAGAATGTGAGGGAAGGACGGAGGGAAGGAAAGGAGGTAATCCCGGTGTCTTGCCCATAGTAGCCACTTAATAAATGATTGCTGAATTAAATTAACATTCTCTGTTCTAAGGGTTCCTACAAGCTCTAAAAGTCTATGATCTGAGGTCTCTTTCAGTTTTACCATTTTATATTCAATATCCTAACATTCCATGATTTCAGTTTCCTTTCAGCTCTAACATTCTATCTTATAAAGTCCCTTCTAGTTCTGACATTCTAGTTCTAAGGCAGCCATTTGGCTGCAGTGGAAAAAGTTCTAGACTTGGAGTCAGGAAGACCTGAGTTTGAATCTTGCCTCAGAGAATTATTAGCTGTGTGACTCTAAGCAAGTCACATAACCTTTCTTAGCCTCAGTATCCTTATCTGTAAAATAGGGATAATAATATTATGGACCACACAAAGTTGTTGTAAAGATCAGCCAAGATAATACATGGAAAACACTTCGCAAACCTTTTCTGGTTGAGTCATTTCAGTCATGTCTGACCCTTTGTGACCCCATTTTGGGGATTTCTTGGCAAAGATACTGGAGCAGTTTGCCATTTTCTTCTCCAGCTCATTTTACAGATGAGGAAACTGAGGCAAGCAGGGTTAAGTGACTTGCCCAGGGTCACATAGCTAGTAAGTATCTGAGGATGGATTTGAATTCATGAAGATGAGTCTTCCTGATTCCAAGCCAGTGCTCTATCTACTGCAAACCTTTAAGTGATATAAAATGCTCACTATGATTACTATTACAGTCCTTCTCAGTTCAATCCTATGTTGCCAAGTCCCTTCCAGTTCTGACTGTCTATGTTTTAAGGCCCCTTCTACCTCTGAGATTATTTTAGCTTATGAGTAGTGCTGTAGACAGATGCTCTTCCTATATGAATTTAAATCCATAAATGAGTTGTGGATTAGCTGGAGTAGAGTGGAAGAATGAACAGTAAAGCAATGAGTCAGCTCTATATCTTCCCCCTCATCCCCAGCTGCCCCTTTTCTAATTGCAGTTCTGAGTTTATACATGGGGCTTCTTTGAGCTATAGATGCTGGCATAACCCTACTGGGGAATTTGGCAGGGACTGGGTCTCATCCGCCCCTTTCTCAAGGTAGAAGGGAGCCTGGAGATGAGAGAGTTAACCCATGCACCTCATTTGCCAGAGGTATGTAGAAGAACAACACAGCAGCTCAATAGTAGCTGAGGCCGTTTACTTTCTGTTAATAAAAATCACAAAATATCATTGGTTCTTAATGGAATCCCTTGAGGGTTAATTACATGGTGGAGAATCGTATGTGAACACAGCTAATATGTGTTTAATAGATGTACCTTTGGGAAAAAAAATCACATTGATCTTTAAAAAGGAAAAACAAAGCTCTCCCCCATGCAGATGGAGATGGCAAAACGATTTCACTCAGCACTTCCGCTTGTCATCAGCTCTTACAATGACTTTCCTAGAATATCTCTGGCTTCCTTCTGTCTTGTCATCACAGAGTTCTCATTCTGAGATAGAGCTAGAGAGGGCATTTTGTACTTTTCCCAGCTCCCCAGCAGGCCAGTAACTAAATAGAAAGCTGGCTGTCAGAAGAGAATTCTTGTGATCTGAAATCTCTGGAGAAGGCCATTACATGACTGCCCATGGAAAAGGCCTGTCTTCTCTCCCTGCTGCATCTCATTCTTTACTGGACTCTTATGGATTAAGATTTTTTTTTCCCAGGTAGGTAACTTGCAGGGTTCTTCCTCATGAATAGCCAGTCTACTTTAGAAACTATTCCTCTTGCTTTTCCCTTAGCCTCCAAATCTAAAAGAAAATGGGAAAATCTATAGAAATTATGCACCCAGAATATAATTGCCTTGGTGCTGGGGAGAGGTTCATTTGATATTTTGGAGGAAAAACAACTCTAAATTGACTGAATTAGTCATATGTACTACCCACCCCTGGGGCTCTAGCTGTTTAGCCAGATGCTAGGCTAAGGCTTCTTAGCTTGGACTTTATGGACAGATTTCCGGGGCTCTGAAACTTGGATGAGAAAAAATACATCTTGATTTTTAGGAACCTTTGTTTTCCTTGGCAATCCTACGCATTCTATTGTGGGTACTTAAAAGCATTCTTCTGAGATAAGGTCTGTAGGCTTCACCAGACTGCGAAAGGGATCTGTGATACAAAAAAATGGGCAAGAATCTCTGGTCTAGGTAATGTTTGGGTAGCCCCAGTTCTGTTAAGGAATGTTCTCATTCATGAAACTTCTGAATTGGAAGCTAAGCCAATCTCAATGATAGAAAACTGGAGTCAAAGTTCAGATATACCCTGCCTAAATATACCCTTGTTCATTCATTCATTCAACATATAGCAAATTACCTATCGTGTCCTTAATGCCAAGTTTAACTAACCAAGTGTCTTTGACCTCATAGAATTTAACAGTCTAGTAGTCAAACAATCACTCAACAAGGGTGTATTATGTACATGCTATGTGCCAGGCACAGTGTTTGGTGCTGGTGATACAAATACAAAAGTTGAAACTGTTCCTGCCCTCAAGGAGTTTCCAGTCTGCCAACAGGAGAATACCAGTTAAATAGCAGTATTCTGATGTCTGAATTGACCAAAATTAACAAGCAACTATTACTGGATATATAAGACTTCATATTCGCATGAATAAAGTTGATTAAAACCATTCTGGGATTGTTTTTGATTTACAACTAAACATTCCACCCCCCCACCCTCCCTCATATATTTAATAGGTACTCTACTTCACCATTGTTATCAATAAAATTTTATGAGGCCCCACACCAGAATTTCTGATCATATGGCCTGCTTCTGGAAAATCTTAGAAGCCCCTGTTTCAGAATCCCTGCAAAGCAGAAGGGTCCATGTGAGTAGAACATGGAATCAGAGCTAAAAGGTATCTTGGAGGTCATTTAATTCAAGTTCCTCATTTTACAGATGAGGAAACTGACACCTAGGAGGTGAGGGGTTTAGTCTAAGGTCATCAGAGATAGCACCTGAACCCAAGGCCTCTGAGTCCAGAGACAGTGTTCCATGTATGACAAGTGAGGAGTCTGGGGCATGTTGCTGAAGCAATGGGATGTTGTAGAGCAGAGTGATCGGTCAAACACACAGCCCCAGACACTCAGGAATGCAGCCTGAATGAAAAGTCTCAGGTACTCATGAAAGGAAAGACCATGAGAACAGTTCCTGGGTTGTGTTTATATATGTACCCAAAGCATGACACACATAGCAAGTGGGCACGCTCAAGGAGCTCCATTGGTTTCCCAGTGATTCCAGGCTTTAATATCAAGTCCAACTTGGCATTGAAATCTTCCATGAATTGCTCCAAACTATCTGTCTAGACTCACTTCCCTCCAAGCACTCTATATTCTTTCCAAATTGACCTATGTGTTGTTCCCCATACATGACGTTCTACCTCACATCCCTGTGATTTTGCGCAGTGTGGCTCCCACGTGTGCAGTGTGCTACCTTCTCACTTCTGCTATTCAGAATCTCTAGAACCCTTCAAGGCTTCAGTCAGGTACTTCCTTCTATATGAAGAAGTTTTTCCTGATTCTCAGAAGGCATCTGGGTAGGGCAATGACGGAGTGACACACTTAGAACCAGGAAGACCCCAATTCATATCCTGCCTCAGATACTTAATTACCATGTGACTAAGGTAAAAGACTTATTTTTTCTTGGCCTCAGTTCCTCATCTCTAAAAATGAATATTATAATAGCACCTAGGGTTGTTGTGAAGATTAGTTGAGATAATATATGTAAGGTAAAGTCCTTTGCAGACCTTAAGTCTTATATAAGTGCAAACCCTTCTTCTTTTCTTCTTCTTCTTCTTCTTCTTCTTCTTCTTCTTCTTCTTCTTCTTCGTCCTAGTTGTTAATGTCCCCTTTTAACTGAAATTAATTTGGGTTTATTTTGTATTTGTTTTGTGATTACTCGTGTGTGTAAATATTGCTTCTCCCCAGTAGAATATAGGCATCTTGAGGGCAGGGATAATTGTGTCTTGGTTTTCCGAGTATCTGGCATATTTCCATGGTTGGGTTGTTTCAGTGGTGCCTGACTCTCCATGACACTGTTGGGGATTTTCTTGGCAGAGGTACTAGAGTGGTTTGCCATTTCCTTCTCCATCTCATTTTACAGATGAGGAAACTGAGGCAAACAGGGTTAAATGAATTGCCCAAGGTTAGACTGCTAGGAAGTATCTGAGGCTGGGTGTGAACTCAGGTCCTCCTGACTCCAGGGCTGGAGCTTTATCCACTGCACCACCTAGTTGCCCCATCTGGCCCATAGTAGGCATTAAATAAATGCTTGCTAAATCATATAATCCCCTAAGCCAGGACACCTGGGTCTGAATCCCACCTGAGACACTTTAAAGCTATGTGATGGTGGGTAAATTATTTAACCTCTCAGAGCATCCATTTTCTCTTTAGTCAAATGAGGACAGGAATAATTATACTACCTACTTCACAGGGTTATTGGGTAGAAAGCATTTGGTTAAGACTTGTAGTGCTATACAAAGGTGAGTTATTACTGTTGTTAGGTATTAATATTTGTTAAATTGAGTTGAACTGAAAGTAAACAGTGGTTTGAAGCTCCCTGAATGTATCACTGACTTCTACTGCAAAAATGATAGGAATAAACTGGTTGAATTTCCTTATTTATCCTAAAATTTGGAAGGG